GACGATATGATGCGACAAGGCCATTAGTATTACCCCAATGGTATTTATATCTTATTATAGTATTAACAGTTTGTTGAATTTAAATGGGTTTATATGCCATAGTGGAATAGACAGAATCTGTAAACGATTTCATATGACCGCAACTTTATAACGTCTAGCATATAAATGTGTAGCCAAGAAAACATATACACTGCGCCGAGATTTAAACGTTATATAAACCTTCCTACTTCCCCTCCCAGTCCAATCCAGGTTAAACGTCATTTATCGAATACGCAATATGTCAATTCGTGCATTTATTGACAACAACCTCAACGGTACTGAACTCGCGCAGCTCGCAAATCCGCCGCTCCCATTGTTTCTGTCGATAATGTGTGGGATTTCTTGACCATAATCCTCAGATGTATCCCACCTCAGATATATTAAATCCTGGGTCCCAAAGTGGGGATATAAACGAGGTATGGATACGCGTTGCAAAGTATTGGGTGACATACATGATTCGGTTCAATAGGGTGGCACCAGGAAGTACTGCAATTATCGCTGGAGGCAAATATAGAAATCTAATTCATCTAATTCTTACCTTAGTTGTATCTACAGACTTCCTCACCGTCGCCATAATAATCCTCCTCCGCCATCACCACCGTCTCCTACTCCATCAACCCTCACCACCCCCACCACCACCACCGCCTCCTCAAAGTTGCAGAAATGGTAACAGAACAGAATCTATAATTGAGATCAACAGTATATGCTATAATAATACACAATCGATTACAATACAGGGAATAATAGCAATAGTATTGCCAAGAAACCAGAAAAGGCATCCTGGCTACCATAAATATCGACGAATCAAATACTCAGCATGCTGTATCTGAGCATGCTGTATCTGAAGAGAATGCATTGAAGACAGAATCTACTAATGGCTGCAAGTGATTGGTCTATATTTGGAACCTTGTCCGTCTCGACAAAACAAACTACGAATGAACATTATTCAAGAAGCTTCACTGATCCAACGTCTCCTGCAGAAAGTTTATTTTCGTCATCCTCCAAGCAAAAAGACCCGGCGCAATCGCAGCCATCAACCACGAATTTCAATAGTACGGCCATAAACAATATGGTTAGACAATTCTGGATCAGCTATATTGCCATATGGACAGTTGATGCCATCATCGTACGCACATATGGCAAGCAGAAATCCCCACAACGCTCGACATCATATTGATATATAAAGCATGCATTAAACCAGTTATACAACACTTCCCCAGATACGTTCGTCATAGCTACATTTCTTTTCCTTGAACGCTGCAAAGTCGATGGTCAGGATAGACAAGGGGACTCGATAAAAAGTTAATAGAGTCATAAGAGATGAAGGAACAATCCAATGAGAATAGATCAATAAGATAGTGCACGAAAAATTGTCACAAAAGAAACAAATCATTATATACCGTCTACAAAAGCAAAACCACCCAACGAAGTCGATGAATCATCTCAGTTCAATTTACTGAGGTGGCTGGATGGATGTTAAAAGATAGGTGTGTATGGGTGGTTTCCAGAGATGTTGAGGGGCAAATGACCGGCACCTCACCCAAGTTTTATGATATGATGCAAAAGTAGTAATCAGTAACCTGAGCATAGCACAATAAGGATCTCCCGAGGATGCAATAACAATAGAGCAGGTCCGTGGACTCACATTTGAAAAACGTGCTCGACCCACAGATCGTACTAAAACAGAAGAACTTTTTATTGGAAGAAAAAGAGAAACTGGAACGATTGGGACGAGTAAAAAGGATGTTGGATGTAGATGTGAGGAGAATGAAGAAAAAAGACGGATATAGATAGCGAGGCGAAAATGAAGAAAATGAAGCAGTTACGATTGGATTTGGTGAAGGGATTGCTAAATAGGGACGATGACAATGATGATGAGAATGAAATAGTGGATGAAGATGAAGATAAGAAGACAAAGAAGAAGATGATGACGTTGACGACGATGACAACGAAGAGAATAATGAAGACTTAGCAAACGATGTGTCAGCCTTGCATGATATGAATGATTTCTCATCAACGTCTCGTTCCGTTGCTAATCGACTTCAGCGTCTAAACATTCGCAATTGCCTACCTCGCCCGCAAAAGACACTTGACCATAGATCAGTGTGACACTAAAAGTTCTTTTTTTCAGTCATAAATCCCTTTCCAGAATCAGAAGGTCCACTTAACAAGATTAGCATCTTTAGTTTGTTTTTGGTATAATTTATTATATTTTCTTATCCTGATGTCCCATGACAATAAATGGTGATGCTCCGGAATGTTTGTCGACCAACGGTTTACTTGATTTGTTGAATTGTGTAACACTTTCCTTATATGGGACGATCTTATCATTCCCCAAACCTGCCATGATATTGCTTTACCTAATTATGAGGAAGACAGTCCTCGCGATCCTGTTTACCAGAGGATGGCACATTTGGTGTTGGGTGATTGACGGAATGTTGGAAGATGGAATGACCATCACATAAAGTAAATATTATATTTGCTGTCAATCCGGTTAAATAGCGCTATTTATTGCATGACAGTGTAAGGTGACAGACTTAATAATCACGTCAGCACAAAATTTACCAACCATCAATCAGCTCTTCCAAATCTACATAGGCGTGCCGAAGCGCTGACGGATTTACTATCGATATCGCATGATCACGCATCACATCAGCGCTCATAATAATAAACACGGAGGTCGGTTGTCGAGATATAGCAATGGAAATGGACATCTTTCGTCCACCTTTCAGTATCGCTTCATGTTCACGGCGATATTCTGATGAGTCGCCTTGACTAACGACGGGGAATGGATTATGAAGTATCTAGTCAAGGCGAGTGTTCAAAGTTCTTGTCATGGCTGAACGATTGGATATGTAATGAATTTGATAATTACTTTTCCTGAACTTGCACATTTCTCTTTCTAATTGAAAAATATTTATATAAAATTAGAGATCTAAAGATACTGTTTTCGCGGTCGTCATGACGAAATGAATAATGTCAATAATACAACATACAAATATGCATGTACTTATCGCTTACATCCACGTAACAAAATTGGTCAGTCTTTATCTTTTACATTCAACGATTCGGTGCTCATCCTCCAGTCAATGCCCGCGGCGTATCCGAATTCAAGCTTTGCCGAAAACGTGAATTCCTCAACCAACCGGGATATATACCTTCAGAGACGTCTATTTCTTGAATACGAAATAAATTGTTAATGGAAATAATTGGTTAGAGAAATACTTGAACTTTGGGAAACGATTGATACGACCCAACAAGGAAAGGAGGCAGGTAGATTTCTAATGGTGGTGGAGAGATGGAGGTAAGTTAGACAAGATGATAGGCAACGCAACAGCGATCGAACATGTAAAGTGCTGATAGCTTGGCAGTGCAATTTTAATGTGACTAGTCTAACAATCCTGCCTCAACCTTATACGCTTGCAATAATTGTCTCATCAACATCCAAAATCCAAGCGCCACGACCATATCGACCATTACCACACGCCGGCCGCTAGAACCGATCTGGGTTTATCATCTGCTAACGTAACGCGTACGACATTCCGTAGCGGGTCACTGGAAATAAACCTTGAAGGTGATGCAGGTATCTTTGATGTTCACGTAAAATGACTCCGTCGTTAGTTCATGTTCTAATTCTCACGTTTCTTTGGTGAAAAACCATGTGAAGTAACGAAATTTATTGTTGCGATAAATTCTAAATAATTTTTACTTGATAGTTGACAAAAAATGAAGACAACACATATTTAATGCACGTGCGGACATTCACACACAGATCAACTATCGTTTTACATACGATAGAAGACATCGACTTTAATATCAAAAACGAGCTCCACTATCACAAGGAGCGAAGTACACCAACCATCGTATGCCGGCACTCGATCCAATCTGCATTTTATTCATCTGCCTTTCTCGTTCCGATTGTATACGCAAGCAGAGGTGGGTGTAGATTGGAAATAGACATGGAAATCTGGGTTTGTAAATGTATGTTCTCTTGCTAATGTCCCTTTCTACCTTCTTGTCACCCTTTTCATATCACTTACATGTGACTTCTTCGTATCTATTAGAATCGGGCTTCCAGAATGTTTTCCTTAAATAACGGAATGAAGTGTTAATTTGGATTGACTCAGAAAGAAGTTGGAGATGTTTAGATTCGGCGAAATGATTGAAAAGTGGTGATGAGAGCAATTGTGTGACATACGAAAGACTGACGGTCATTCTAGTAAAGTAGTAGCCATAGTAAGGACCTGGATGTATGGAGTAGACGTTTATACGGTGCAGAGTTCAAGCTATTGTGTCATAGTTTTTATCATTATTCGCTTTTTTGTTATCATCATAGTCAACTTAAGGATATTCTGGGATTATTGGCATAACACAAGATGCGATAGCAGGAAGGGGTCTCCAAGTTCATGTTATATTATGCAAAATAAGCGATCTTTCAGTGATAGAGTCGGATCTTTATTCTACAGTCCATATTACACCTTAATTGAATATCTTATACATATGTGACCTCCCCAAACGTAGTCATATTACATATTATAATTTATGGTTCAGACCAGGAGAGAAACTATTGATATGGGGGAGAGGTGTCGTGTGGATGAGTCGATTGAGTTGTTATACCAAACACGCATTGTATACATACCGATTCCTGGTGCTGCCAGAGGGTGCGGGGTGAAGGACACCGCGCGCCTTATTCGATTTGATAATAGCGTATGCCAGTACGCTTCGATGCTCTTTGCCTACACCCTTATATCGAAGCGTTGGGACTTTCGATCGATTATCTACAAAATT